AGCTTTGAGAAAGGTTCCCCTTTTTTTACGATAACTACGGTTCCCCTTTTTTTACGATAACTACAACTCCATATATTATGAGACTAATTTCAGAAAAAGAACGGGAAAACACCTCGATCAAAAAGGTGAATATATAGCAATGGGAAATCAGCAATTTTCTTTTGGTTCTTTTTCTGGATGGCAGCTGTCAGGACTGTTTGTAGTGCGAACTGGAATGGCCTAATGTATTGTTATAAACGCTCAACTTTCGTTCCTCCCCCAAATCGTTAGTTGAGACCAAATTTGCAAAAAGGGGAATTTGTACCAGGGTGCGTGCGTCAGACGCACGTATCCACTTGCGAAGGATTTTCCATGAAGACCATTCGACGCGGCAGGTACATCTTAAATGAAAAGAAGGCGCAGCCGCTACAAGGCCGTAAGCGCTTGCGTCTGAGCTGCGTCAGGTATGGTGGGATCTTTGCTGATTCAACAGTATGCTCTCATCCCCATTTTAAGAAGATCTGTAGGGTCACCAGCAGTGAAATTAATGAGCACATCTCTGGTTTATTGTTGTGAACTCAGAAAATCATTGCCTAATTTACAGTTAATGCTTATTTCAGAAGGTCGACAACAGAGAAGAAATCTTCCGAAAAACTGCCAAGTAAAGAAGATGCCGAGGTTAAACAATAATTCTTACAAATTCTTATTTTTTGTTCAATCTTAGAGCTCTTGTTAGTGAACATCTAGTCTTGTGATCTTGTGACTAACAAATAACTTATAAACGGGATGCATTTCGTAAAGTGGTTGAATTTTTGGATAGAAGTACTGTTCTTCATACATAGCTTGGGTGCTCAGAGGCTGCAAGAATAAGTGTCCTCACAAAAAATTGGGTCCTCAAGCGTCACGGTCAGGAACGACAAAGGCCTCAAATTTCGAGATTTATCGAGTACCAGTCTCGTCATCCAGCTATAGCGGAGTTCTAAACTTCTTCTAATGCTCGCTTCGCTTGCATCAATCTATCTCATATCCGGACCAATTCAGCTGATTGTTCTACCAAGTTTTTTTTAGTGGAAAATAACAGCGGATGTAGCACAACAATCCATCTCCTGTAGCTGCCCTTCCTCGTACGCCATAGGATCCACTACAGTGTAGGGACCTCACGGCTGTAGCTTTTGCTTAATTGAAGCAGCTTAGAGCAATTATATGTGATCGAGATAGACCATGAAATGATGGAAGGAAGTGGTTGCAATCTTCTACATGTTATTGTATATGAAGTGATAATTGTTAGCTTGGGTGTATAAAGGAGGGGGTGGGGGTTGGGTGGAGTATGGTTTAGTACAATGGGAAGAAGCGCAAAATAGAAGGGGCTGGGGTGCTGAACAAAAGAACACAAACAACATAATAATAAAGAAAGCCTATAACATTACCCAATAACATTACGCACCTGCTACAGGGTGCTAACAATGAGATTTGGCCTTGACCATTATTCGACATCTATATGGCTCTCTAAGGGCGAGAGAACTCTTGCAAATTTTTATCTCTAATGGGCGCCTTGGCACTCATGTAGCAGAAATGGAGCCGTTTTCTGGCACTCCCAAATTTGGGGACCGGAGCACCTTTCCTCAGCGGTGGACCCGTTGCCCTCTATTTTGGGATTGCCGCACTCTAATCACAGCAGTGGACCCGTGTCCTCCACACTTGGGCGCGACAGCACTTTACCACAGCTGTGGATACTTCGCCTTCCTAGCTGTGGACTCGTGCAATAATATTTTCGCTATTTTTTGGCGCCAAGGCACCATTATCGCAACTGTGGACAAGTCCTGTGACATTTTCTTCATAACTGAGGAGCGCACCACCTTCACACCCAACTCTCCTACTACCGGGCGCCGCTACACCTATGACACCTAGCTTTGGAACCTCTTCTTATAATCTGCCTTTTCATATTTCATGGCTCACCCTCAATGGTGTCATTCCCTGCCCGCTTGGCTCTTCCTACTCACTATAAAGCCATTCTTCCCTCCTTTTTCCTTTGACCCGGTGCTGTAGTCATAGGCCTATCTCATACACTCATTTACACGAAAATTAAGGCAAAAATCAAAATTCACCATTTTTTCGCACATAACTCGACGCGCTGAACATGGTGGTACAGTTAGTTTTTGACGGCAGCGACTTGTTCTCGTACACAGTCACATTCATACACACATGCTAAGTAAAATAATATAACGTATGGTTCCCGTTCTTTCACTTTCACTACTTTTTCCAAAGCTATTATAATATTGATGCAGGCCATAGCATCACTCTCTCCTCCTGAATCAAATGAAAACAAGAAGGATTCTAACTATGAAGGGATTTCACTTCCTATGGAATCTGGATCGCCTGAACTAAATATTGCGTAGGTTTTGATGTAAGAAAAATTTAGCATGATCTCTTCAAGTCTTTTCAGAAGCAAATCCTTTGTTTGGCGAGACAATCGCGATAACGAGTTGGAAATCCGACTAGAGAAGCTGAATAAAATTTTGGCAGAAATCAAGGTATGTAGTAAGAACTTGGACTTCAAAGGGACTTCCTCACTATTCTACAGACAGCCCCTCCCACCTCCCACCCCATTTGCTTCATACAAGATAGGCTGGGGGGGGATAGGGGGAAAACTACGCTCTCAGGACTATATCATCTCTGGATATCAGTCCAGGAGAAATGTGTCCAGTCGGTTGACGCCTCTCTATGAAAGTAAATGTTTAAATTTACGAGAACTTCCGCACTTGAACGTGAGGTGTGCTGTAGATCAAAACCGCTCTGTATCCCTATTTAGATCTAAGCACCATTTTGACGGTTTGGCTGACGTTGTGAAGGCAAACAATCGTCTTAACACCTGTTATAGTCACTTTTTGCTTAATTCTTATCAGGCCATTCCCTCTATGGTTCTTTTCTGGCCATTCTCTCTACATTACAGGAGGACAAGATAAGAAAAATAAAAGAGAGTGTGGCAAGATGGGAAGCAAAATATGAAAAACGTTTAATTGATTTGGAACTATCGATGCAGAACTTCGAAAAGAAATGCAAATACGACAAGGCCGAGCTTAGTGAACAGGTTTATTACTGCATGCCTATCTTGCGATAAGAAGCGCCTTCATAACACTCGCTTCCAGATCAGCCGTGTTGAGGAGATGTCGGACGTGAATATGGCGCTAAGACAACGAATAGAGAAGAGATTAATCGCTCACGGTACTGTATCACAACCTGAGCAGAACAGACAAAGGATAATCACAATGGCTCTGAACATGCTGCGAGGGATACTATACTACACGGCTCAGATACGAGATGCTTTCCTGAACATGAACCGCCCTACGTTGAAGCCAAAAGAAGACACGCCTACGCCTGCTACACCAGCCAAAGAAGAGCAGCCTCAAACACTCAAAGGAAGTGCATAAAAACATTCGTGAAAAGTACATTCAAAAACGTTTAAAATAAAAATGCAATTAAGAAAATCTCACGGAAGCCCGCAGCGAATCATCGTACAAAACCGTGAAATCGTACACAGGAAACATTTTTCTGTCGGTGGTGGTGGTTCTGAGTGTTTGCAAAACTTTCGACCCAGCAAGGACTCGAACCTTGAATCTTCGGTTTAGGAGACCGGAGACCGACGCCTTATCCATTAGGCCACAGGGCCTCACCAGGGAAAATTTCACGAAAACACACAGCCAACGTCCAAAACCGTGAAATCGTTCACAGGAAACATTTTTCTGTCGGTGGTGGTGATTCTGAGTGTTTGCAAAACTTTCGACCCAGCAAGGACTCGAACCTTGAATCTTCGGTTTAGGAGACCGACGCCTTATCCATTAGGCCACAGGAAAAATTTCACGAAAACACACAGCCAACGTCCAAAACCGTGAAATCGTTCACAGGAAACATTTTTCTGTCGGTGGTGGTGATTCT